ATAAAAAATTGGGATAATGCATATAGCTCAAAGAAGTCTCAGCCAGAGATGGATATTGAATGAAGTCCATGCTGGTAATCACGTAAATTCTAAACAGGCATTTGGGACTTACCTCCATGTCTTTAACTGTAGCATCATTTGCAGTAATTCTGCTTCATCTTGGGGAGAGATATCCAAAGAGTCACCAGTAGACAATTTGCCAACTGAGGATAAGAGATGTAATTGATAATGCATTTGAGATCCAGTTGTCAAATTACACAGTGACACAAATTTCTCCCGTCCTTGTGTGTGAGTGGATGTTTCAATGTGTAGGCTGGTGTCCACATATTTGTATGTGATGTAATAGACCAACAACATCACAAGAATTCATGGACAACCACATTAGTAGCAAAATAGCCTCAGAAACAGCCAGCTTCAATGGTGATCCATCTGTTCCAGGTAATATGTTCATTCTCTATAAAATCAAAACAGTTATGAAATATGTTTCACCTTTTTAGGAAGAGTGACCAAAGCAAAACCAGAAACTATGCAAGTACTTGTTAAAAGATATCAGAAATTATCAGTGAATGTTGAAGCTAGTTTGAGAAGCTGGGGTCCTCTAAATGGAAAGAAAAGAAGCCCTTCAATATGGAAGCCTATGCACCACATATTTTTAAACAAATAGAAAAAACACCTTTAGGTTAAGCTCCTTCAGTAGATTGGGTGTTGAGAAGGCCTGCCTTGAACCAACTCCATATAGATCGAAAACCTGCAGAAAACACCCAAAGAAGATGCAATTTTTGTTGAAAAATGATGTTGCTAATTGAAAAAACTGATTGAGGTTTAAGAGAAGATACTTATTAAGCAGGAAATTTTACATTTGAGAATATCATGGTTCACTAAGAAATATGAAGTATCCAAATTTTGATTAGGAGCTTTGTTAGAGTAATTTGCAGAATTTTGTTAAATACAAACATTAAGAACAAGAAATAACCACTTTCATGGAGAAAAGATTCTAGCCATTGACTTGTGAGCTTCAGAATCATGTTTCACAAATTAGTTGTTATAGATGAGGCAGGATAAACCTTATTTTACATGCTCATTTGCCTTGTTAACCATCTATAAGAAGCTCAAAAGTAGGAAAGTAACTTACAGGGATAGGGATTCTTCTATCATGGAAAGCAACATCTGAAGCAAGAAAGACATCACCAATGTTTGCTCCTTTAGCCTGGAAATAATAAAAGATCAATTATATAGAACTTACAACAGATCCTATAAATAGAAAAAGAAGACTGCTTCTTCAAATATCACACTGAGCTCTATTCATTTGTATTATAACTTACCAATTCAATAACTTAAAAACTTATAAAGGTGGCTGCAGTCTTTGCTACTAACAACTGTTCAAGTAGTATGTCAACAAGAACAGGGTTGTAGATATGAATACGAATTATAAACTCTCTATGGTGCCAGCAATCATCATGAACACCCAAAAACTATGAAAAAGGGTATATCTCCAGGATAATTTCAATTCCCAGATATCGTCAGAAGGTTTAAAGAAAAGGAAAAGGGAGCTAAGTGGCAGAAAGCAGGACAGAAAAGTACACACCTTAAAGCCACCAGCAGTCCCTGCGTTTATGATTAGATCTGGCTTGAATGCTTGGATAGAAGAATAAGTCACAAGAGATGCAGGAAGAGTGCCAACACTATCAACCCCTGAAAAGAATTAATATGAGGACTAAGCAACAGAGTTAAGAACAGAAACTAATCATTTTGGCCGTCAAGAACTATTTCCTACAAGCATATAATATACCTCTGCCTTCAACATATGAATCCATCATAGGTACTTCAATATGTCCGTGTAAATTACACAGCTACATCATGGACTGCCTAAACTAACTCAACAAGGGAAATCTAGCTTGACAAGACACGCAGCTAAGAGAATAAAATCATTACTATGAGTTTTGCTCTATCATGACAATTGGAGTTGCCAAATGCACGTTCTGCCCTTTTCTACTATCGACATGAGGCAGTTAATAAGAGCATATGATGATCTACAAGCAGCCATAAAGCAGCCATAATGCATAATCAATCATTTTGAAATGATTTCCGAACAATTTGGCAGAATCACAGACTTAGGCTTACCTAAAGTTAAATCTTTTCCTGGCCAAATTATATTGACATTGAGGTCTTTGTAAGTTCCACGGTACCGGACCCAAGGGACTGCTTCTGGAAACCTGCAACATTGTGTTCATACAGAGAGAGATTACATCAATAACCACTTAGTTCATCAGGCAAAGCTGTTAATTCAAATACCCAAAACAAGCTCTAAACCAGAACCTTGTGAAAGGAATACCTGAAAAAAAAAATCAACTTTTCTGCAAACAGCATCACTAATTAATGTAACATGTCTAGATGCCAGTTTAATTTATAAATAAAAACTAATAAAATTGATAAATTCTGGCAGCAAGTATTCATTATCAGAAATTAGTGAAAACTGGTAGTAAAAATTCTGTAAGACCATCTTTTTCCATTAAAAAAAAAAAAAAGAAAAAGCAAAGAAAAATGGTAGTAAACCCTAACTGTCATCTTAAAACAATTGAAAAAAGAAAAAACACACAAACGAACAAGAAGATTAAATGAAGCAAAATAACCGCACAATGAATCGTTGTCCTCTGTTAGATTGAACTTTTTGACCAAAGGCAGCGCTTCGGTTTGCATAGCTGCAACTCAATCAAAACCCAAAACCCTAGCAGTTAGGAAAAGAAGAACAGCTCTAGATACTTGGCTGCACATAAAGATATAGAGAGAGCAAATGAAGAGTACCGATGACGATGACGACGGTTGAGATGCGTTGCTTCTCGTCTTGAGCAATCATGGTTTCCCCTGCAGAGTCCGATCCCTCGCCATGAGGAGCCATACCTCTTGTTATCCGGCGTTTTGGCTTCCCGCTGGCTGTCTGATAATTTTCCTGGAAAATCCAAGGGAAGAGAAAATCGTCGACGTATAGAGCTCGCCTTAAAATAAGGGGGCCAATGAGAAGCGGGCTACGGGGAAAATACATTGCTTACGTCATAATTTTTAAATAAATAATTTGTAAGCTAATTTGTATCATAAAAGAAAACTTGCTTGGTTCACTTAGAGATTATTATATATTTTTGGAGTGAATTTTTATTGTGTTTTTAAGATAAGACAACAAAAAATAAATTTTATTTGAAAAATTAAAATTATTTAAAAAATGATATTAATTAAAAAAAATGAGGTGATTGATTTTTAAATCAAGAAAAGAAAATTACGTAATCTATACTAAACATTAATATAATAATTAAACTTAAAAAGTAATAAACTGATTTTTTTTTTATAATAAAACGATCATCATTAATCATTAATCAATTATGAAATTTTTTTTACTAAAGCAAAAAAGCAGGTAAATTTTTGAAATAATTAGAGAATTTTAACCTAGTTAAATAAATCGCGATTTAATGAGCTTGACTAATCAAATTCTCTCTCTATTTTGATTTGGAATGTTTCATTTTTTGACATTTTCGTATTATTTATAAAAAATTTTTGTGTCATATTAAAGAAAATTTGATTTATGCTTCAATAATAATTTCAACTTTTATAATTAATCTATTGAATTGAATTAAATAGTATTTGTTTGACTAGATTGTAATTTTTTTAAAACTAGTTAGTAGACTAATTAGTTGTACTTAATTATATCCAAAATCTTAAAACTCTCTTGTAATTTTGTAACGACTCCGAAAATCTAAAAGGAAATATATAATAATTTAAGTGCGGAAATGAAATAAAAGATTAAAGTTTACATTGCTTACACAATAATTTAAAAGTACAAAACAACATTTTAGAATTAATTCTCTGAAAGAAACACGAGAAATGAGAAAAACAATAGAAAATAGAAAATATCTAGCATTTACTTGCAATCTTTTTGCTGATTTGGCTCTGGAACCAGGTCCTCTTGATTTGAAATGGTTAAATCAAGGATGAGCTACACTAATCCAGTAAGGATATCACACTATATCACCGGCACAGAAGTAAAGGTTGGTATAAAATTAAAACAATAGAACACTAAATTTAAACTAATACATTTATTAAAAATAAAACTATTTACCGTTCACTTACCATAGTGGAATTTATGAAAACAACCTATAGAGACAATAACAACATACAGACCATAACTTCATGAACAATTAACAACATAGAATATATCATAAATTTATATTTATTAACAATAAATCAAATCATAAATATTTCTCATTTCACCCGGCTACTAGTATCTATGGGGGTTCATATGGGTGTCCCCGCTACTCGCAAACCCTTTTCTTTAACAATCTCAATTACATGACCGTCTCCATACCCCGTCTGATATGAGCGTCAAGACATTAAAGCTCAATACCCCGTCCGGTATGGGGGGGTGAAGTGGGTCGTCCCCATACCCCGTCCAGTATGAGTGCCAAATTACCAAGTTTTCATATCTCGTCCGGTATGAGACAACGTTCACGGTAGGGTTCTCTATGTACCCGGTCCGTCCATAATCTCCTAGTATATATAGTAAGACTGCCATTGCATCTGTTTATTTGATCACACAACTTTCCTGTTTTTCTTTAGTCTCCATTACCAAATCAAACATAATCACATAAATAAATAAACATGCATTCGGTAATGCAATCATGTCTCAAATCCAAAATCAAACAGTAGTAAGGTAAGACAATAATACATGCATTCAAACTATAAAATTGATAAACCAGATACTATCATACTTTTAGACTGTAAAATAAATCAACAGAGAATAATTTTTTGTTCGGGCTCCATTAGCAATCCGTAATTAATTATGCACATTTATTTAATTTGCATAAATACCATATTATTATTGATTTAGACTTCATTTATATGATAGGGAATAGGGTGAGAGATCCATACTCGATTTGACGCTGAAAAGTTAAACGGTTTACTGCGCCTACGGGCGGTCCCTGGGTTCCCTGAATTTTTCTTCGGGAACTGAAACGCGCTTATAATATCTACAAATGTTCCAAATAAACCCAAAATCAGTTCCAGGACCCACTCGGCTAATTTTAAAAATCCGGCACGGCAGCTCTGCTGTGCTCCGGCGATGGTGCCGCCGCCTGCGGCAGCAATCCACCTCAGGTCGGCCGATTTAGCATCGATTCATGCAAGCAAACACGTTAAAGGACATTGGTTGGCCGAAAAAATATGAAAAATCGAAACTCACCGGCGATAAGGCTCTCCAGTGCAGCGGCTCCTCCGGCTCACCTTGTGGTTGGGTGTTTCGCTTCGGTTAACCTGTAGAGAAGCAAAAGGTGATCACAACGGTGGAAAAATTATGCGAACGTGAATCGAGAAGGGCATCATCGGAGGCAGTTTGTGAAATTCCTTGCGGCGGTGCTACCGAGCTTCGTCGATATTTTTCGACCAATTGACTAGTCTTTTTACTCCGATTTGGTCATGAGTGAACTTAAAATTAAATTTCGTGCAAAAGAAAAAGTTTTTACCTTTTTTGGCAGTCGGAAAAGGTTCCGATGCGGTGGTGGGTGGCGGCGGTCGGCTCCCCAACGGCTGGGTCATCTTCTCCGGTGAGGGGTTCTGGCGGTAGGGTTAGAGTTTGGTGCAGATGAGGGTTATTTATACCCATCCGCTTTTGATCTAGGCTGTTAATCGCATTTGATCTAGATCGTCCGATTGGGATTAAATAAGAAGTGAATCTGGGCCGTTCATCACGATCCAATCTGGGCTGTCCATTGCGATTCACTCTGGGTCGTCCGATAGCTTTTAATCGGGCCATCCGATTGCGTTTGGGAGGGAGTGCATCCAGGCTGTCCGTGCGCGCAGGAACGGACCTCAGCCGTTCGATCGCGCACACGCAGATCGCCCACGTGACCCTCCCCCCCGCGTGGCCTCCTGCATCAGCGTCTCTGTCACTTGGCGCGTCCCGATTGGTGGGGGCTGCTGACGGGGCATCTAACGTGACAAATTTTTTTTAAATTACGTTTTGACCCCCAGTTTCTAATTTTTCTTTCAAAAATACATCAGAATCTAATTTTTCACCCCATTTTTCCTAAAATTGTTTTCAATTCAATCATCCATCAATTTTACTCCATTTTTATATTAAGTTAAAATAAAATAAAATTCAATAAAATAAATAAAATAAAAAATTATATTTATTAATAATAAAAGAAAAGATTTAGGTGGGTGTTACACATTTAGAATTAGTTAAGATCTCATGTATTATGGTTTTAAGTTTATTGCCTTTTCATTTTCTTTCTATCAATTGCATTAAGATGAAACAGTTAACATGATCAGAAAAACAAATTAAATCAATATATACATATATATTGTTCGTTCTTATTTTATTTATTCTTATATTTATAGTTGTTTAAAGGACAAAATTGTATAACAAAGGAAATTCACAAAAAAAAAAAAACTAAGAACTTATCTGCACTCTATGCCCAAAAAAAATATCTACACCTTTTTAACCATTTTACCTCCAATATAACAGAGCAAATTAAACTAATGGAGATGATATGGTTAAAAAAATTGTTTAGGAAATCATACATGAGCTACCTCAACTTAGTTTTCATATTTGATTAGAACCAACCAAGTAGATTTGTGAGAGTTAGATGAATAACAAGTAGGAGGGGGAAGTGATGGTAAATAGATTTTAATTTAAAGCTATTATTTGGCAGCATTGGAAAATTATCTGGAGGAGACATCACACAGTTTTCACCATTGAAATATATTCGGCGTGGAAAAGCCCATCCGTTTCTAAATGTGAATATATCTAAATTCTTCTCCAGAAGTATGTCTGTAGTCACTGATCCAAGTTTGTTTTCATCAACATTTAGCAGTTCACTGTTGTAGAAATCTATCCCCCAAAATAGAGCAACCTCATCAATGTCTACAAAAGTTCATAACTCATAATTCAATACGATGGTAAATTACATAATAGTTTTTGTTAGGAGATAATATATACATTCACTAATTAAATAATATATGTATATTAATAATAAATAACACAAATAACTTCTATCAAAATTTAAGGTAAACTAAAACAAACTTTTAGTATTTTGAATCAAAGTTATTAATAAAAAAAAAAAAAAAAAAGAATAACTATATACTTCGAATACCTGAAAACCCATTAGAAGGGAGCAATTTGCTATTGAAGCTATATACTGTTGCGGATTGGTTGAAAGCAGGATGTTGCACTAGCAAATTCCAATTTGAGTAGTTCCGCTTGTAGTTGTAGTTTGAGACGGTTAACTTTATTCTCCAATAGGTCATGTAATTATTCTTAATGTGCCAATGAACTCTAATTGGACACATATTATCGGTGCATTGTACTACGTTAAGATTATTATCAAGATCTGAATTCGATAAAGAAAAATCTTCTCTGCGTTCAAATAAAAAAATATAAGATAAAGAATATATACAAGAAACTTGAATAAAATTGATAGATATATTTATTATGGAACAACCGAATTATTTTTAACATAAAATACCTAGTGAAATACCGTAGTTATATTTATACTCAAGCATTAATTACTTTGTAATTAAGCCAATATGATTTGTTATTTAATTTTGATGAGGAAGGGTTTTAATTACCTTATGCAAGAAAGTGTGGTGGGATCTGCATCTCTACATCCACAGCTGCAGTTAGGGCAAGGTGTGACAATGGGACTGTAAAATGTGGAGAGTGAAACACAACACGCAGGCAATTTGTTGGCCACAAAGCTTGAGTAAGTGCATGTTGATTTCCATGTTCCTAATCAAGATTCAAAGATTAAAAAAAATAATTTGTTGGGTATTTAACAACATTATTATTATAATGATCATCAAAACTACATAACATATATGTAACATTCACACAAGTGTACTATATAACATATACATATATATATATATATATATAATATACATACAAGGGCATAGTCTAATTCTCAATGTTATCACCCAAACTATTGTTAATCAAAAACTTGAAACTCAAATTTCAATTAGATATATTGTGTCGAGAAGAATCACAATATTCAATATGACACAAATTCAGGTTACTAATATTTCGATACTATTTAATTATAATGCTCTTTATTAAAATATTAATTTTATTTCATGATAAAATTTAATAAATATATAAAATTACTAATTAAATAAAAAATTATATGTTTTCTACTAAATAAATAATTTCAAAATATTTTAAATTTTTTTTGGTCAATAATTTTTTTTGCATAAAACAAATAATTTTACCTAATTAGTGAGTGTTGCATATTTTAAGTGTTTATTAATTATAAGCACTAATGCACATATATGTTCTAATGGTTGGATTATGATTAATACAAATTATTATATGAGGGCATAAAAGTTAATTAATATTAAGAATGCTGGCCGGACTTAATTAATATATATATATATATATATATATATATAAAACAATGTCAAAAACATAATTATTTAAAAAAGTTTATGGAGAGAATTAAGAATTAGTGATTACGTTTTACTCGAACTTGTCTTCTACCTCCAACGTCCCAAGAAACAGAAGGATCAGCATCCTCAAGTAAACCACATGTGTAACCCGGACCCGGATCCTTAAACGTGAGATTTCCCGGCGGATGTGCAGTGTAGTTGGCTCCCAAGTTGGCAACTTCGATTTCAAATGACGAAAACGACATATTTGGATTGATAGCCCAGGCGGCAAGAACGCCGCCGCGACAACACTCCTCCGACATGTTTTCCGGCCAGGCGTCCGGCATGAGATCCATGATTGTCGGGTTTCTCTCGCAGGAGTGTGGTGTCTGCTGGTACTTGAAATTATCAGAACAGTTGCCTTGTTGGGTGGCGAAAGCACCGGACATAGACAAGATAACCTCGTCGTCCGCCCATCGCCACCCTAACTTCCACCCAGGTTCATCCACATGCCTGTACTGCTGATAGTTTCTGATGCTCACTCTCGCCTACAATAAACCAGACATTGAGACTTTTGACTGTATATATTATGCATGAGAATATAATGATGTATTTTCAACTTTTATTATAGTAGAAAGTCTTTTTCTGTCCGAGCCAAGTTAAATCTTGTATCTTTTTTCCTTTTGTTTGAATATATTTTGTATCATGTATTGACTGGTGATGTTTATCCACAAAGCATATAAATATATGTGTTGTATATATATTACATAAACTGACCTGATAACCATCAGGGGTGTACTGAAGAATGTCAAAAGTGATTGTGATGTTTCCATTGGGATCCAAGGGGTCGTAGCAATCTGATCGTGGAGAAGAAAATCCTCAATCAGTAAACAGGAACTTCTGTTACATGAGAAAGTATTCCTACATCTATATATATATATATAAGTATATATGTATGTATATGAAGAAAGAAGAGTAGTAGTGAGTGAACTGGCCTGAGAAAGTGGAGATAGCAATGAAGAGAAGCAGTCTGAGTAAAAGAGAAGGTGTGGAATGAAGGGTCAATTCCATTTTTTTGTTTGGAGATGAACAAGTTGAGAAGGGTAGAAGTTAATATAGTTCAAGGTATGAGACAAAAGAATGGTTTCAGAAACTGTAGGAACGAGGAGAGACAAGCATTGGAAATATCAATGATGAACTTGGACAAATTCAAAAACTATAATTTCTACCTAATATTTTTTAAAATTATCCAAATAAAAATAATCTCTTCATTTCTAAAACATATCAAGCGCTTACGTTTTATATTGTTATTTATATATGTGTATTATTTAATTAAAAATTTATAAATTTATTAAAAAAATTAAACTCAATGGCACCAATATGATTGGTGATTCTTAATATTAAAAAAAAAATCTTTTTTTTAAAAAAATATTTTTTAAAATTATTTAAATTATTAAATGTTAATTTTTTAATTAAGTAGATGACTCAACGTTTAAGTTTTTCTCATCTATTCGTAACGGTTAAAACCAACTTAAAATAATAAATAACAATTATAAAGAAAAATGTACATTTATGGAGTGGATAAAGTTAAAATAAATTATAAAATTATTATATTTTATAAATATTAAACTATTATAATAAACACGATTATCAATACATTCAATTATTATGAAATATGTTTTGACATCTTATCTTAAAATATTGAACTGCTTTAAGTACATTTCCTTTTTTTTTTACATTATATTGAGTTACATGAAATTATTTCATGATAATTTTAATTTCTAATTTTCCTATTAATTTATATTATTAAGATTAATTTTTTTTAAGTTTGAGATTGTAATGATCCTGGAAATTCAAAAGGAAGTATTATAATAACTTAACTGCGGAAGCGAAATAAAAATGTTAAAATTAACATCTCTTATACAATAGTTTAAAAGTACTAAATATTACGAAATAAATTTTCTGAAGGAAATACGAAAAATGAGAAAAGTAAAGAAAAATATAAATTATCTAGCATATACTCATAATCTTCTTGCGGATTGGGCTCTAGAACCTAATTCTCTTGATTTGAAATGGTTAAATAAAGGATGAGCTACACTAGTCCAGTAAGGATATCACACTATATCACTGGCGCAGAAGTAAATGTTGTTAGAAAATCAAAAACAACTAATGGAGTACTAAATTTAAACCAATACATTTATTAAAAATAAAATCATTTACCCTTCACTTACCATTGGAGAATTTATGAAAATAAATTATAGAAGCGATAATATCATACAAATCATAACTTCATGCACGATCAGCAACATAAGACATATCATAAATTCACATTCATTAACAATAAACTAAATCATAACCGTCTCTCGTTTCACTAGCCTATTAGCATCCACGGGGATCCATAGGGGTGTCCCTGCTACACGTGACCCCTTTCCCTTAACAATCTTAATTACAGAGCCGTCTCCATACCCCGTCCGGTATGAGCGCCAAGATATTAAACCTCAATACCCCGTCCGGTATGAAAGTGAAGCGGGTTGTCCCCATACTTCGTCCGGTATGAGTGCCAAATTACCAAGTCTCCATACCCCATCCGGTATGAGACAATATTCACGGTAGGATTTCCTATGAACCCGGTCCATCCACCATCTTCCAGGATATCTAGTGAGATTGTCATCTTATCTGTTTATTAAATCACACTCCTTTCCTGTTTTTCCTTAGTCTCCATTACTAAATCAAACATAATTACATAAACAAATAAACATGCATCCGGCAATGCAATCATATCTTAGATCTCGAAATCAAACAGTAGTCAAGTAAGATAATAATACATGCATTTAAACTATAAAATAGATAAACCAGAAACCATCATGCTTTTAGACTACAAGATCAATCAACAGAAATCAACAGAGAACAATGTCCAGTTTGGGCTCCATTAGCAATCTGTAATTAATTATGCACATCTATTTAATTTGTACAAAATACAGTATTATCATTTATTCAAACTTCAATTCCATGATAGAAAATAGGGTGAGGGGTCATTGCTTGATTGATGCTAAAAATCTAAATGGTTTACTGCGCCTACGGACGATCCCTAGATTTTATGAATTTTTTTTCTCGGAAACTGAAACGCACTTACGATACCTATAAATGTCCCAAATAACTCAAAAATCAATCTCAGGACTTACTCGGCCAATTTTAAAAATCCAGCACGGCGGCTCCGCCATGCTTTAGCAACGACGCTGCTGCAAACGACGACGATCTGCCTCGGGTTGGCTGTTTACGGTCATTTTTGGTTGAATTCAACCAAATTTGCATCAGTTCATGCAAGAAAACATACTTAGGGCCCTTGGTTAGCCAAAAAAACATAGAAAATTGAAACTCACCAGCGGCAGGACTCTCCGGTGTGGCAGCTCCTCTGGCTCACGTTACGGTTGGGCGTTTTGCTTTGATCAATCTGTAGAGAAAGAAACGATGATCACAACGGTAGAAAAATCAAATTGAACGGGAATCGAGAAGTGCCTCATTGGAGGCATTTTTCGAAATACCCTGCGGCGGCGCTGCCGGGCTTTGCCAGCATTTTTCGGCTAATCAGCCGGTCCTTTTGCTCCAATTTGATCATAAGTGTGTTCAAAATTAAATTCTGAGCAAAAGTGAAATTTTTACCTCGTTTGGCGGTCGAAAATTGCTCCGGTGCGGCGGCGGGTGGCGACGGTCAGCTCCCCGGCGACTAGACTATCTTCTCTGGCAAGGGGTTCTGGTGGCTAGGGTTAGGATTTGAGTGCGGATGGGGTTATTTATACCCATATGCTTTTGATCTGGGCCGTCCAGCACTTTTGATTTGGACTATCCAATCGCGATTAAACAGGAAGTGAATTTGGGCCGTTCATCGCGATTCAATATGGGTCGTCTGTGCACGATTCAATCTGAGCCGTCAGTGCGCGATTTTAATCTGGATCGTTCGTGCGCGCAGGAACAGACCTCAGCCGTTCGATCATGCGCACGTAGATCGCCCACATGGCTCCCCCCCGTGTGGCCTTCCGCGTCAGCGCCTCTGCCACCTGGCGCGTCCTGGTTGGTCGGGGCTGCTGACCGGGCATTTGATGTGGTGTAATTTTTTTAAATTATGTTTTGACCCTTGATTTTCGATTTTCTTTCAAAAATACTCACAGAATCCAAACTTTCACCATTTTTTTCCAAAATTGTTTTCAATTTAATCCTTAACAAATTTTTACCCATTTTTTGTTAAAATAAAATAAAATAAATTAAATAAATAAATAATTATATTTTTAAAAAATAATAATAAAAATAAAAAAAATATTGGGTGTTACAACTCTCTCACCTTTAAAAGAAATTTGGTCACTCAAATTTGTCTCTCACTCTCAATCGAACAGCTGGGGATACTAGGTTTTAAACTCTGATTCTAACTCTCATGTAGCCTTCCTCGGTGTGTGGTTCTGCCATATGACCTTTGCAAAAAAAAATTTTCGGTTGCAGAGTAATCTACTCTTTTGATCCACAATGCCGACTGGTACTTCCTCGTAGGATAAATCCTCTTGGAGTGAAAGAGGCTCGTGGGCCAAGACATGAAAGGGCTACTAGGGAGGGATCGACTGACTGAGTTTCCCTTATTCTCTGGATTAACTCAGTCTGAATGGTCAGATGACCCAAATATGTGACTCTTTTCAAGTCTTAAAGTCAAACGTGTTGTGTGGTCCTAATCTGTCTGCATTCTGAAACCATTACATAGGCTAATGTACCTACACTTTTTCTGCTGAGTGGGCTACCACGTTTTCCTTACCCGGATGATATAAAATGTCACAATCATAGTCCTTGAGAAGTTCTATCCACATTCTCTGACGCATGTTGAGATCATTTTGAGTGAATATGTGTTTCAAACTCTTGTGATCGGTATAGATTTGAACGGTCTCTCCATATAAATAATGACACTAAATCTTTAAGGCGTGTATGATTGCGGCAAACTCTAAGTCATGGGTGAGATAGTTTTTCTCATGACTCTTTAACTGTCTGGACCCATAGGGTATGACCTTCCCATGCTGTATTAAAACACAACCTAAGCCTAGATAGGAGGCATCACTGTAAATTGTATATCCTCCCGATCCACTCGGTAAGGCCAGTTCAGGTGCAGTAGTCAGCCACTTCTTTAGTTCTAAAAAACTTCTTTCACAGTTCTCATTCCACTCAAACTTGATATTCTTCTTTGTGAGCCGGGTCAGGGGAACAGCTAAACTAGAAAATCCTTCAACAAACCTGCAGTAATAGCCCGCCATTCCCAGAAAGCTACGGATCTCTTTAACTGATGTCAATTTCTCCCAGCCGAGCACCACTTCAGCCCTTTCAGGGTTCAGTGATACTCCATCCTTTGATATGATGTGTCCTAAGAAGGTGGTCTACTCAAGGCAAAATCCACACTTACTCAACTTTGCATACAACTTCTTTCTTCTGAGAACCTGCAAAACCTGAGCTAGATGGTGAGCATGTTCCTCTCTGCTTTTTGAATAAACCAAGATGTCATCGATGAACACGATAACAAATTAATCTAAAAATTGTCTGAAGACCCTGTTCATCAGATCCATGAAGATGACTGGGGCGTTGGTTAGCCCAAATGGCATGATTATGAACTCATAGTGTCTGTACCTGGTTCGAAAAGCTGTCTTGGGGATGTCTTTTGTCCTGATTTTCACCTGATGGTGACCTGAACGTAGGTCTATTTTGGAGAGGACTTGTGCACCCTGCAACTGATCGAAGAGGTCATCAATCCTGGGAAGGGGATACTTGTTCTTGATTGTGACTCTGTTCAATCCTCTGTAATCAATATATAGCCTCAACGTTTCATCTCCCTTTCTGGCAAAAGTGACTCCGGCACCCTAGGGGACACACTATGTCTAATAAAACCACAGCCCTGCAATTTAGTGATTTGTTTCCTCAGTTCTTCCATCTCAACGTGGCTCATGCGGTAAGGAGCAACCGAAATAGGTTGGGTGCCTAGCTATAGGTCTATGGTGAATTCGACTTCTCTGTCCACTGGCAGTCTAGGTAATTTATCCGGAAATACA